CAAAATAGGTATGTGAAATTCCATACGAACGCCACTGGTGGCAACAACAAAAAATGTGGTACGCTTACTGATGCATCTTGATACATAGTACATGTATGCCAAATTTCATCAGAATATCTGAAGTGGTATTACAGATATTAATAAAAAACTATTAATTTTTGAGAACTTTACCACCCTGTATCTCAAAAGTTAGGATGTTTAGGTCATACGTTCATATGAAACTTTCTTCTTAGAATGGGCCCAAAAATCGCCTCCCCAAATATTGACATTCAATTATGAAACACCCTGTATACAGTATGATGCAAATGTATGGAATAAATTCATTTCAAGACAAGACGACTTCCGAAAAAAATCCAAAAAGTAGAGTTCAGAACTTTTTTATCGATGTATTTTTTCAACTAGACGACCCTTCGATGTTCAATTCTCATATAGAAGATCTCTGCAAGATTCAGTTAACCAAATGATAATCCATCTTAATTCCAATCTTCTTTTGCAAAATTTTGACTATTGGATAGACGATTAGTAGACCTTTCAAACGAGGTGTCACATGACCCCTGTTTGTATTTAAAAAAACCGTCCATTACTTCATTACTCCAACACCGGTGACGTAACATCTCTCATATGAATGTCATGAGATGAGGTTTCAAAAATTAAAACTCACGTGTTTTTGGAATATCTTCAAATGTCGCCCATTTCTGAAATAATGAATTTATTCCATACATTTGCATCATACTGTATATAGAACTTCACATTTTCTCCAGATACTCTCCGCGATGACCACGCGTCATTCTGACCATCTACCAATTTTGAATTTTCAAATGGAATAATACATTCTGTACATTATTCTATCACTGATTATGGGTTATACCATTACACGATACCACAAATATACTGACAATATATCAACTTACTTGCCATTATCACTAGTCTTATTATTAGTAATTAATTAAAGAAAAAATGTATTCATCAGATATTCAGTATTGTATTTTCTGTAGTAGTCCATGCTCAAAGTGGAGTGGAATCAATAGAGAAAAAACCCAAAGTCGTCTCCACAATTTTTAATGTATAATCAGGCAGTCAATACTGCTTCATTAAGGTTGATACATGTTTCGGCCATTCTAATGGCCATCTTCAGTCAAACGAATATAACAAAGTGTATCTACAATAGAAAACCAAACATGATTTTTTATATAAGAAAAATTTAAAATGGAAAAGACAACAGTTGTAAATTCAAATTGAATTGATTAACAATTTCGGTTAGATCAAAGAGCAACAGTGATTTTTATGAGTATACAATGATAATTGATCAGTAATTGATAATAAAAGTGAAAACAAAATTTTATCAAATCAAAATTCTGAAAAACAAAATGGAGAACCATAGATAGATCAATTACTGATCAATTATCATTGTATACTCATAAAAATCAATGTTGCTCTTTGATCTAACCGAAATTGTTAATCAATTCAATTTGAATTTACAACTGTTGTCTTTTCCATTTTAAATTTTTCTTATATAAAAAATCATGTTTGGTTTTCTATTGTAGATACACTTTGTTATATTCTTTTGACTGAAGATGGCCATTTGAATGGCCGAAACATGTATCAACCTTAATGAAGCAGGATTGACTGCCTGATTATACATTAAAAATTGTGGAGACGACTTTGGGTTTTTTCTCTATTGAATATTGTATTCTATGAATACCTATAATAGGTATAGGTATCCCAATTTTATTTTTTCATTCTATGGCCTCAATCTCCAAATCCTCATATCAGTATTCAAAGTGTTAGTTTTGTGTTATTAGACTTTTAATAACATGAGTGTTGTCAGCCGCGCGTCGCTATAGGTGTATAGGTGATGGGAACAGTTGATGTTTGCCCGCGTCCGCGTCTCGCTTGGCGCGGTTCTCCCACTACGTTGTTTATACTAATACCTCCTTGCGCTAGACGCTAGTTACAAACCTCGGTAGGAAGTTTCATTCCTGTCTCGAGATCATAGCTAACCTCGACGCTTTGCGTCTCGGTTATAACTAACTAATGTCTCCCCACCTCGGTGTGTAATATACTATTACGCCTGGAAAAGAAGTAAATAATGGTAGGTTTTATAGCTAGTGATGGAAGAAAAAAATTTTTCTAGAGCAACTCAAATTTGTCGTTCTTCTGAAAAACTATTTTAAATTCAATTTGCATTCCTCACTACATCACTTAGCCACGAAATATAATTTTGAAGAACTACTTCAAACACAAATTCGTATTTGTCATTGAGCTCTAATTATCAGTTTTCAATATATTTGTCATGCCACTCTCTATATGCACACATGAAAGTACTAGTGCTAACTTCCATGATAGAATGGGTGTGTTCATCACTCAACCATTTCAAAACTGTTCAATCCTATTATCGAAACCAGAGTTCATGAATTTTGTGTTCTCGTTTCAAAGGAAAATGAATTGAAATCACAAAAATGTTACTATTTCTATGTGAAGGGCACAATCCTATAGTTATGGCTCTGCACCTGGGTCGAAATAAGGCAGTTATTTCCTGGACTCGAAACTTGAGAAGAGAAGTAAGAGAACTCCACCTAGGTGGGTCTACCCAGGGCGATTTATGTAAGAGTGTGAAAAAACCAAGGTTCATGTATTGTACTATTCTTATATAGACCAACCACCATGTATATAGTTCCATACCTGATTATACCTATACCATCATGACTTTTCCTCCATGTAGATTTTTTGTAATGAAATTCAGGATACTCGCTGTAAGGAATACACTGTCACTGTTGGATGTAATAATATCTCATAACTACACTGAGGAAAATAGTGCCCTTAGAGTTTTTGCTGAGATATTTCTTGCTACCATTACATGAAATCCTATTACCGTTACACAACTTTGCTGAAAGTGAATTTTCTGCCACAGGAACGTATACTGCTGTCGTTATCAGGCATATATCTTTTCCCCGAACTATGAAACAAGAAGTGCCATCACCTAAAATATGCCTATTTTCAAATTGGATCCGGGTGAGGTTTGAGAACTGAATAGTTACCTATTAAACAGTTTGTCTGTAGGAATTCTAGACTGCATCTATAAATTAGGCATGCTTCTTGATGCACTATATGCATTATTGTATCGTTGCGATACTTGTGGTATCTGATTAGTAATCCTTGACAACCACAACAGAGATGATTTATCTGGTGGGATCATCGACATATACAAGGTGTCCCAGAACAACCAACACCAAAATAAACTGATTGGAATCAGCTTACCTCTATACGAAAATGCACCTTTAAGCCGTGAGAGGGCGGTGAAAAATAATTTTTTTGACATATTTTCCTGAATATTTCAAAATCCTTTCAAGGAGTACTGCTTCAAGATTCGTAGGGCAATTTACTTTTATGAATGTACATAAAAAACAATGTCATACCAATTTAATAAATATACAGGGAGATAGATATCCCACATTCGATTTGATGAAAATTTGTGTACTATTTTGGAGTAACGCCACTGACCATATTTCGATATTTCAATAAATGAGAAAAACAAATATCTAACTTTTCTTGATAATTCATCTTAGTTTTCGAGATATCTAACAAAATTAATCTTGCTGCTTCTCCTTACTTGTTTGTAATGGTAGAATTATCTATGATATTTTGCAAATTTCTACTTCATTTGTGTTGAGTTATTGGCCACAACTAACTGCAGTTGAAAAACGTTATATAATTGTTCAGTGCATTCACTGAAATATCAGAATGTGCTCAGTGGCGTACTCCAAAATGAGAGATCTATCAACTTTCATCAAAAGATAATGCGAAATAACTGTATCTCCCTGTATATTAATTAAATTGATATGGCATGTTTTTCATGCACATTCACAATAGTAAATTTTTCTTCGAGTTCAAGAGCAGTATCTCTTTGAAGGATTTTTGAAATGTTCAAGAAATTCTGGAAATAAAATTATTCTTCAACGCTCATCATTTACGTATAGAAGAAAGTTGACTTCAATCGGCCTATTTTGGTCTCTAGGTCACCCTGTAAAATTTATGGTACGTTGTTCTGGAGCACCCAGTATATTTATAAATACCTATACAGGCTGTATCTAAATAATACCGAAAAAATTGTGATTCCTTGTAATATTTTAGGAAATAAAGTTCATGTAAACTTGCCTCGTTTTCGAGATACAGGGTAATACTATTTAAATAAAAAATCTTTTTTCAATTCGTTCATTGTCTTTTCATCAATTTCAATAAAAGGTTGGTTTTGTTAATAGTAATATGGAGCTTCTTCTAGTATAATTAGATTCGAAATAATATTTCCAGTGGCGAGTGGGTTAATTTATCGATATTCATGGTGAATGTCGTTGTACACCACCGGTTTTTCTGAGTTTCATATTTTTATTAGATTGAACTATTGAAATAACAACTTCTCAATGCTTTGTGTGATTTTTGTATCTAGCTTAGTTTTTGAGGAAACAAAAAAAAAACGATTTGGCTCCAAATTTTGAAGTGTTTCCAAGACTTCCATTGAGGTTACTTCATTACCCCAATTAGAATCATTTTTAAATTTTGAGGCTTTCTCAGTCTCGTTCCATACTAAATTTTGGCACCATAAAAGATTATACAGGGGGGTTATGAATAAAAACAATTAATACTTCCAACTTCAACATCCTCTGTATCTCAAAAACGAAGCAGGTTAAGACACATGTTTATATAAACTTTATTTGCTAGAATGTCACAAAGAAACACCCTTCTGGATTTTTTCGGTGTTATTCAGATACACCCTGTATAATCTAAGCCACTATATGTTCTATACTCACCACCCAAAAATTGCATCATGCTCTAAGGGATCTAAATTCGGATGAAACCTCTTCATCTATTATGTCATTATAGCGGTCTAGATTATATAATTATCTAATTGATGAAATGTATACAGTATCCTCCAGTACCTATACCACTACTCTCATTTTCAACCGTGGCACCCTTGAATAAAAACACCTCTAATATTATTACAGGATTTCCAAGAACCGTTTCCCAGGCCGAGGCTCTTTGGAAAGTGGAAAAACTAGATTTGGCTATCAATTTAGTCGTCCCCTTTCAAGTTATTATCAACAGGGTGAAAGATCGATGGATACATCTACCCAGTGGCCGAGTATATAATGTTGGATTCAACGCGCCGAAAGTACCCGTAAGAAATTATTAAATGTTGATACGCATATAATAGGCGATTGAACTATTTTTTTTTATTTCTCAAATATAATAATCAATGAAATGACTTTTGAATTTAATATTCTTTGAGAATTTCTCGGTCGATTTTTAGTTGTTAAAATCATCAAAAATGCGACGGTAATTTTCAAACCGCTAGAAATGGGCTTATATCACAAAAAACTTTTATTTAATATTTCGATAGAACTCACCCAAACTAGCCCATCACCGCAAACCGTTTCTTATTGCCGTGAGCTCCCTACGTTTTATAAAAAAAATTTGAAATCCCCGATTTTTCGGACCTCTGAAAACGAGGCGATGATGTGACGTCAAAACCCTAATACTGAAACAAGACTATTCCAGACAGAGATGAATGATACATGATTTCTGACAGAGTGAATTAGCGCGAGATCACAGTTGAAAGAATTAATATATCAGTTGCCTCAGTCTCCGTCGAGCTTTTGGTATTCTCTTTCAACTATGGCGAGATGAGGTTCCTACGTCATAAGAGGGTCCGTTTTCAGAAGGTACTATTATTTATGTCCAAAAATAAAACATTCCAGTTAATTCTTCGATCGAATTATGTCGTCAATCATTATTTATGTATGAAAGGATCATTATAAACATGGTTTGAGTTAAGAGTTCTACTAAGGTGTACACGCCCATTTACCGCCAGTAAAAACTGACGCCATGATTTCGTAAGTAGGGACAGACCATAGCACAGTTGCCATGTGTTGATGGGAAATTCATAAATAATAGTTATTTAATCAAGTATTGGTAGATAATATTCCTAATTAGCAGTAAGAATTCAATTTTCTCAAAATGTTCACTTATGATTTGTGGTTTATTGCCCATGATAAATTTGTGTAAATAATAGTTATACTAATTCACACTAGAGGACATTCGAATCGGTGAACGTGAAAATAGTGCACGAATTGTGGGCGTGGTCTTGACAGTTTTCAGCATTCAGGACAATATTATGCCAAGTCTCCAACATTTACATGATATTGTGTTATGGAGAATGAACTATAATATTATGGGTTCCTCCTATTATGTTTAATTCAAAGCGAGGACTACAACATCTCTTTGATAACTTGATTATAATTGGTGACTTGACAACCTTGCTTTATGAGTGAAAATGGAAGATTATCTGACGTCACCATTCACTGATTATGGTTCGTTTGAAATGAGCTCTGAAATTCAACAATTTTGAACAACGCATAGACAGATTATTTACGTAAAAATCTGTCTGTATAACAGTGTCATTCATAAAGTCGGTAGCATATGGTAAAAACTTTTAATAATAATTCATTTCGCATTTCGCCGTGGGCGTTTAGCTTTGCTTTGAAAAATATGAAAAATGGACTCCTCGGTCGAAGTCACGTGACCTTCGCTGTATGTCAAAAGTTAATTTTTTTCAAATTAATCGCTGAAAATAGTCATATATTTGTTCGAATTTCTGAAAAGTATTCAGAGAAAAATTGTTTCTTTTTCAATGTTACATATTATGTGTCTCAAATTCGTTCAATTACATCTTTTGGTTTTTGATATCTCCCCAATTTCTACCGAAATATCTGAAATATTAAAACAAATTAATACTGACAAATCTATTTCATTCTAGTAGCTTCATCATGCTACTATCTTTCAATCACTAATTATAGACAGAAATATGATTTTCTTCAGAAAATAATAGTTCCCGCTTCAAATTTCTCCTTTTTCAGATGCAAAGTTCAAATCAAATCAAATCAAAATTTGCTTTATTGTCGGAAGAAAGGTGATTCTCATTGACAAAGCCTATATTGGTTGAAAAGAAAACATGATCAAAGATTTGGGATAACAAATACATAAACATTATGAGTCGAGAAAAACAATATTTGGAGCAGCTCTATCACAAAATAGTGCAATAAATAAAATAACATATAACAAAATAGTGCGTCAATGAATAACTAACAAACTAAATCACAACAGAAATGTAGAAATAAAATAACATAAAATAAAAGAAGATAAAATAAAATGAAATAATATAAGTCTAGAGTCTAGATATAAATCAAATGAATCTAGACTCGAGTCTAGATATAAAATAAAGTAAATTGTTAGGAATCTTGATAAAATTTGGTCAAACTATAATAAGCCTTCACATTCAGAAACTTTCTGACTTGTTTTCTGAACTTAAGTTCATTGTCGATTTCCCGAAGGTATATAGGCAGATGATTAAACATTTTCTTGCTCTCATAAATTAAAGAGTTCTTAGTCAGAGCCGATGTGGGAATGGGAAGTTTGATACAATTTGAAGAGTTGCGGGTTTTATGTGTTGGTGTAACAAATCTGAAATCTTTATATTTCTTGTGGACTAAGCAAATAGTTTCCAAAATGAAGATGCAAGCTAATGTCAATATTCCATGAACTAGAAACAATGATCTGCATGAATCCATCACCCTAGCTTTACACATATATCTCAATGCTCTCTTTTGTAAAACGAAAATTGAATTGAATGAATGGTCAGTACATGTCCCCCAGAAACAAATGCCGTAACGCAAATGTGATTCGATGAGTGAATAGTAAACATTTTTGGCGGCATTCAATCCCAACTCATTTGATGTAACCCTCACAGCATAGCAGCCAGATGCTAACTTTTTACTTAGAAGTAGTATGTGCGTTTCAAATTTCAATTTGGAGTCAATGTTCAACCCTAAAAACTTATTAATATCTCTATTACTGAGGCATACATTTTCAAGGAAAACATTATCGATATGACATCTGAAATTAATCATTCCTGTCTTGTTGATATTGAAAGATAATAAATTAATTGGTGTCACACCATAATTTAACTTTCTTCAAGTCCTCGTTGATGATATTTTCCAATACTGAGAAATCCTTTGTATGCCAAAGAATAGTCGTATCGTCAGCAAATACGGTGAATTGTCCCTGAATATCGATTTGCATCAAGTCATTTACATATAATAAAAATAACAAGGGACCAAGTACAGAGTATGTATATGATGTATCGTATATCATTGAAGAGCGAGATTAATTTAAATTGATCCATTCAGTACTTAAATGATACCGAAGTCATCTCTATCAAAATATGATGAAACTACTTTGGTCGAATTTTAAAATGAATTAGGTATTATTAAAAGTTTTTACCATATGAAGCCAACTTTATAAATGACACTGTATATAGGTATACCTGTTACCTGCAGATATATCATAAATCTGTATCTTCTAGGGCATAAAAGTCTATCTACCTATATATCTATCTAGAATTCCGTGATCTTATGTATCTTATAATTTGAATGTTTTCTAGAGGGCACATTAGATAATTCTTGGAGGACTGATATAAAACGATAATTCAGTCATATATTCTTTATAAAAAGTTGTCATAAGATCGAGAAGGAACCTTGTATTAGTGATTGGTTCCTAATATTTGTTTTCACTTCCAGGGAAAAGACGACGTTACTGGTGAACCTTTAGTTCAGAGAGAAGATGATAAGCCAGAGGTTGTTTTGAAACGACTGGAACTGTATAAACAGATGACCAAGCCAGTGATAGAGTTCTACAAGGACAAGAATATACTGAAAGATTTCCATGGTGAAACATCTGATGAAATATGGCCCAAAGTTCTAGAAAGTTTGACTTTTTATTTACCATTCAAGAGTCAGACTAATAACAATAATTGATGCAGTATGCTATGATATCCTATAACACACACAACATATATTGTTATTGTTATTAACATTTTTTGAAGAAATTTTTACAAATATGATATTTTTCAATACATTACTTTTAATATCTGTTCTGTTCAATTCCTAACTGATTATATCAATATATTTTTTAAATTGATATTCATCAAACAGGACGTGGAAAGAAATTCTGAATTGAACCCCTTGATTGGGTGGAAGTATTGAAAAGGAATATTCTCAGATATAATTATGAACATAAAAAATGGATATATACAGGGTGTTTCATAATTGAATGCTGATCCTCAAGGGCGATAATCCTTGGATGATTTCAAAGAGAAAAGTTCGTATCAACATATGTCTTAAACCTCTTATTATTGAGCTACAGGGTGATGAAATTTCAAGAAAAAATGAGTTTTTCATCATAATTCTTTATCACTCTTCGATATTGTTATTATATTTTGTATACACCTTTTCATTATTAAGGAGCATTTTTTTACGTGAAATATATTTAAAAATTCTCACCAGTGGCGTCCGTACGGGGTTTGAACTGACAATTTTTGAAGAAAAAAATAGTACGCCACTGATTTTTCTGAGAACCAGATTTTTTTTTCAATTCCTATTCATTTTGGAGCAAATTTGGTTCCCAGACTTACTTTCATACAACGTACCGTTTTCACGTGAAAAAATAAAAACCAAAGAATTTTGTTCCTTTCAGTTCTTGGATATTGTTTTTGGTAATCCAGTAGACACCCATCATTCTCAATGTTTTTATATCATAACTCATCATATTATTTTATCCGATTTGAGAGATGATGTCAATTCTCAATTTCAGAGGATTTTCATTTTTCATGCTCTTCTTTGGATGTTCAACAGATATAATTCAATGTTCAACGTGGTAAATAGCCAGGAAAGTAGCTGTTTTCTGTTGAACTTACTTGAAAGGCCTCTCGATATCCTCCCTAGGATCTTTCTTCGCCAGTGGCCAAATGAATTCAAGATTATTGATAAATTCCATATTGACAGTAAACAAATGTCTTAAACGGTCATGCATAAAATTATGTATGTATTTCGGGCGTATAACTTGCTTTTGTAGACCTAGGGCGTGTTTTAATAGCGCTCGCTATTGCTCGGGATCTCAATTTAACGCTGCGGTCCATAAAAGTCTACTTTATACGCACTTGATACATAAATAACTTTCATAAATAAGTATAGTTATCTTCAGAATTTTTGAAAGGATTGGTGGCGAGGAAATCGGTATGTAGTTTTTTCATGTCATAATCCTTCTACCCACATTTTGTGAATAAATTTAACTTTTGCAATTTTTCATCTGTTATAGTATAATACACGAATCAAAAGATGAGATTAACAATTTCGATAGAATCTGTAAAATTACACATCTAACAATCCTCAAAATGAATAGGTACACTATAGGAAGAAAAGTTTCAATGAGCTACGGTCCCCTGAAAGGGGGCTGCAGAAGATGATATTTCTTGAATATTTTCGGAACGCCAAGTGATGAAATGATGCAATTCAGTACATGTTTTGAACTTCTCATACAATAGTGCAATGAAAATGGAACAATTCCAATATTTCATTCAGGAGTGTATAATACAGGGTAGGATTATATTAAATATTGCTCAAACTTTTTTGTATGCGTATATTTCGACAAGTCAATCTCGGATTATGGAAATCCACTCCTCCTTACAGATGAAAGATGCTCTGGTTTCGAATCGATCGGATGTATCATTTCCGAGTGAAATCAATTTGAAAATATTGTTTCATCTCACATATTATGCGTAACGTTGCGTAGTGAACATGAAAACAAATTGAAGTAGTTGTTTATCACCATTTTCCTATTTTATGCGCCACCATGAAATTATTCGTTGAAAAGAAAGTACCTAGTTGGTTCTTATTATAGTCACTATGAAAAGTGGCAACGTTTATGTGGTTTATGTATAATATGTGAGGGCTGACGGAAATTTGATCGAAAGACAAATGATAGAAAAACATTTGGTAGAAGTCTTTTGAACGAAAGTGTTTTTGATAGAAATCCATTTGATCGAATGTTTTATGATAGAAAATACATTTGATAGAAACATAAATGATAGAAAATACAATTGATAGGAAAAATATTTGATAGAAAATACACTTGATAGAAACAGCATTTGATAGAAAATTTAACGGGGCCACGCTCAAGTTAGGTCAGTACGTTTGTGAAGATATGATCCTTCTTCATATATTTGAGAAGAAGGAGCTAGATGGAAATCGAAGCTTATGAATTTATTGATACCACAAACTTCTAGCTCCTTCTTCTCGAATATATGAGGAAGGATCATATCTTCACAAACGAACTGACCTAACTTGAGCGTAGCCCCGTTGAATTCTCTATCAAATGCTGTTTCTATCAAGTGTATTTTCTATCAAATATTTTTTCTATCAATTGTATTTTCTATCAATTATGTTTCTATCAAATGTATTTTCGGTGAAAAGTTCTTTCTATTTTTTGATTTTCGATCAAAAGACTTCTATCAAATGTTTTTCTATCATTCGTCTTTCGATCAAACTTCCGCCACCCAATATGTGAGATGTAACATTATTTTTAAATCGATCTCACTCGAAAATGGTACATCTAATCGATACAGAACAAGAGTACCTTTTTTAAGCAATGTTTGATGTATTTCCACCCTGTATTATACACGCCTCAATGACATTTTGGAATGATTTTATTTTCACTGCATTGGGCATGAAAAGTTTTGCGTCGTACCGAATTGCATAATGATATCACATGACGTTTCGGAAATATTCAAGAAATATCATCTTCAGGAGCCCTCTTTCAGGGGCCCGTAGCACCCTTAGGAGACATTTTCCGAGTCATGTTCATCGAAACTTGCTCCTGTTTTTGGTCGTAGAAGCTGCTAGTGAAGTTTGGCAGGCTAATTTAGGGACACCCTATAAAATAATTACTAACAATTCGGATTTGTTCTTGTTCTAAATAGGTCGAAGAAAGTGGATATATTTAGGTAAGTATAAGTACCTATTGTGTATAATTAAAAAAGTCACAGAGTTAAATACAAATAAACATAATTCAAATTTTGCTTTCGATGATGTATTTTATATGAGAAGCTTTGACTAAGAGTGCTTTGGTAGTTTTATTTCTTACAGAAACATCCAGGAATGCAAGTGTTTTTCCAGCTCTGGTCGTGTTACTGGTTATTTCTATGACTTCTCCCATCTTTGCACCTTGGATAAATCTGAAAAAGTAAGTTAAATTCATCATTGATTTCTTGAGCTAAAATTCTATTGAAAGAAAGGGGGTCGTATATATCATTTGAAAATAATGTTGTCGTGTGCAAAGGGGTGGTTCGTCGAATTAATGTTTTGTATCCTTGCAACACACCATATTATCTTATTCACAGTGTTGCCAACTTAGTGGATTTCACACTAGAACTAGTGGTTTGAGTTCTCGTTTTGTGACAAAATATATGGCATCTGTAGTGGATGGTGTTTATTATTTATAAAATAAAATGGTGTCACGTTTAAATCTCTAGGGGTAGAATAATTGTAAGTACCCATAATCCTTCCCGAGACATTCAAACCTACGACCAGTGAGGGGTTACTCGCTTGGCAGCAGAATAATGGGGCTAGATTCAACTTAACAAATTCATGAATTTTTATTCAATCATAACCTCACATTGGGGTGTAAATTGAAGGACTACAAAAATGAGTGAAAAATACAAAAACAAAAGATGTCGAGCGTCAACGAGACAAAATATCCAGAACACATAGTATATGAGGAAATATAAAAATGAAACATAAATATAACATAGAAATCATGTACTCACCAGAGAGCGTGCTTCTCCATGGGGGTGGAACTCGAGGGGCGCGGTGTGTCGAAAAACTAAACTTACTTCAAGAATGAAACGCGTGATCGCACTACTCGCGATCCCTAATCGTAATGCCGGCTTTTTCATCAAACTCGATATTCCTTGTTTCGAAAAATACTCCGTCAGCGATAATTTACCCGATCATAGGTGCCAGCGACCTGGTAAAAAGATTGCAAATCAAAATAATACTGATTGAAATTGGATTCTTGATTTCCTGGCAACTACGATCGACTGAACTGTCTTCCGGAAATGTAAAATTAGCTATGAAAAATATATTTACTGGGAAAAGACTAAAAATTGGAATTTTAAAATAACTGAATAAAATACGAATGATCATTATATCTTGACATATTTCCCCCCACCATGGAAAAGCTGGCCCCTCAGCTTTGAGGTTACCTAAAAATTGAGAGCAGATGAAAAAAAAAAAAGGGAAAAAAAAATCAATGTATGAAAACCAAGGTCTATCAATGAATAATAAAAAAAAGATAATATAAAAAAAACTAATGTCTTTCATTTGAGTCCATCACAACACACAAGTCAAGGGGCTTGAAAAATTAAGTCCAGCCCTGTCCACTCACAAGATAAGTCAAGGGGCTCAAAAAACTAAGTCCAGCCCTGTCCACTTACAACAGTCACAAGAAATATTATAATATAATATAATATAATAAGCATCCGACGTCTCCAAAGTATACTCCCTGCCTTCTTGCTTACTCATCGATGGGAGTCCTGGGAACCGCAGTGAAGTGCCTTGCTGAGGAACATGATCTCCACATGATCAATGTGGATTAGGTACTTGGTCTGCTGGTAACTTCTACATTGCTGCGACTTGACGCTTTGTGTCTCGTAGGTTGTGAAGGTGGTCTGACTCCTGGTGAGCAGCGGGCCACCCTACAGGATTTTCGTAAGGTATGAAGGTACCACTGTCCCTTTTTCCGTCTTCTTCGCAGACTCATCAACCAGGTTATTGAACTTCACGCAGATGCCATATTCGTACGATTATACTTCCCAAAGTATAAACGACTGGGTGGGTTTCCCGTCTCAGCAAACAGAGATTTTCTGTGTTGTCCTTGCATGGTCACTTCTTGGATCTCCCATTCGCAGTATGGGACTCCTGGGCGTGGCATGGAGATAGGAGTATAGGATGCATTGGCTTCATCTCCTTAGGCTCTCTCCTTCGTGAGTGTGTGTCCCAGAATCCGTTGTGATGGCTCATCTCTTGTTGAACATGTAACAGGAAATATACACCAAGTAAGTTCTTAGGAGAAAAAATTTTGTAACTTTTCAATCGAAGTTTTGTTTGATGTGATTAACAACTTACATAAATATCTCTATGTGGCAATTGATCAATTACACCCCTTTTTATTTCTTCAACTAACCCTATCTACCCTTGCTATTGCATTCTATTGAAGATCAGTACAGGTTCTCAGAAAAAAATAAAAATATCCTCTACAATCAACTTGGTCTTCGTTCGATGTTTTCAAAACAGATATAATCATGGACGTATCATTACATTCAGTAACCTGGCAGCATATAACAACAACAAAAATTATAAATTCATTATTTTGCTACTTAGTATGAGCATTTGAACATTTCTTTTTTTCTCACTTCATATTTTGACAATTTTCCTTATTTCAGTAATTTCTCATTAATCTGAATTAATGAGGAAAATAGCGAGTTATTTGCAATTGACAAATAACTCGGGCGATTCTCAACATGAATCATTCATATAGATTTTTTTTTTTTTTTCAGTATTTTGAACACAATTCAGTAGAAATTCACCAGATTTCATCATATAAGTACCAAAAGGATACATTTATGAACTAGCGTATTTCTACCCAACTTAGTACTTTAGTACTCAGTTGTCATCTTTTGGTGTAGTTCCAATGGGTGCAGTCAGGGCCCTTTGACTATATGGCATCCATTAGGAGTAGACCGCAAGGAACACCTAATTTGTAAATTCTTTTTGGAAACCTAAATGATCATCAAAATACCACGTTTCCGGCTCTCCCCTCAACCCTTTTACTTTTCTATCCTTCTTTTTCAACTATTTTAGACTATTATCAACGATCCAGATTCTCATTGATATGCAAACAAAACATTATCAATCGTCTTGATCAACCTCCTCTTCATCGTCTGTGATTCTATAAATTTTAACCATCATACTTCCCTGATTCTGTTCACTACTGAGAATTTTATTTTTTATGTCTCCTACAAAAGACTCTAAATTATGAATTCTAAATTCTGTTTCATTGAAAGCTTTACCTATGGATTTTTCATATTTTGAAAACTTTTTTGAATCATCTGAAATTTTTGTCAGTTTTTTCGATAGTCCGTCAGTAAGTTTGTCAATTTGAAATTGTAAATTATTTTCGTTTGTGACTAATTTATCCAATTTTTGAAGGGTAGCAACCCCACAGCACCAAGAGAGACCCTCACCTAGGAAATCGAGTGATCTTCTACTTCTACTTATTAGACTCGGTTCATTAACATATATTTTCAGAAAATTTGTACTCCAACTTTCTTCTAAAAGTTCAAATTCCTTTTCAAAAGAAGATTCTAATAAATCTAAATTATGTAACAAAAAACATTCGGGTCTATTATTTGGATCATTAGTGCATTCTCCAGAAAACTGTCTTTTTTCTTTCAAAATTTTTTCGTGCCATTTTGATTGATATAAAAGAGGTATTGTTGCCTCATAACTGATTGTAGAGGGGAGGGGTCTCCAAAACGCCCCTGCCGTGATTTCCAATTTTTCACTCCTGACCAAGCCTATCAGATAGAGAGGTAGGAACCTGTTGATATACCAAAACTACTATTATTACTTATATTTCTATATTATGCGTATCAAAAATTCATTATAATTATCTATTTTAATGGAATCTGTTGGTTCGACTCAATATAAATCTACATACAAAAACTCGAGCATATGTAAAAAAAATATATGGGGACATAAAATATAGATATGTACAGTTAATCGTAAGTATATCCGAATGTATATTATTTATCCCCTTTGTCGCTAGGACGGCGGCGGGGTTTATCGACGTCCATCCCCGTTTGGGTGATTGCTATCGAACTGTCTTTCTCTAATACAGGTACAGGTGACAGAAGTAACATATTGGGCGTCCGTCATTAGTCCTTGTTTCAGGCAACGCACTATTTCTAGGAAAACGTTGACTTTGACTACTATTATTAAGATATTTCGGACCTTCAAATCTAATTCTATTATGGTCCTCTGTTTTAGGCACTTCTCTAATATTCGCATTCCGCCAGGTTTCCTGTTGGAATCGTGGTTGATAATTCCTACCATTATCAGGATATTTGCTGTGATAATAACTTTTTTGCTGAAAGTTTCTGGTAGGTTGATAGTTATATCTAGAATTGTTATTTGGTCGGTAATGCGTTTGTCCTGAGAATTGTTCAAAACGTGGTATATTATTTTGAAATTGTGAAAAATTTCCTGCATTGTGATAGCCATTGTTGTTTTGTTGGATATTTGGGTATATCGTTTGATTGTGGCTCTGTGGAAGGGGACTTTGACATGAACCTGAATGGCAACACCTATTACAGTGACCTATGTTTTGTGGGTAATTTATTGACGTGGCCCCTATCGAACAAGTGGTAATGTCCTCAAGCTTGTCGATTATTTTCTTGAATCTTCCCCAATCAACATTTTCTTCCAGAATTAACCTATAGTTGGGGTATACGTCTTGACGCAAACCATTTTCGAAGAATTTCTTGAATTCTTCGATATTATAGTTGGGGTCGTATTCCCCAAATAATGCTTGAAGTTCAAAATAGTACGTTTTGATTGTTTCGTTGGGCTTTTGTTTTCGAGCGTAAAGTTTTCGCTCTAGAGACCTTTTCACCTCACCTTCACCGTATTCCTCCAGGAAATCATTTTTTATATTGGTCCAAGTTTTATTTAGACTACTATTGTCGTTTTTGAATCGCCTGAACCATTGTTCGGCTGCCCCTTCTAAACATGTTTCGAAATAAACCATTTTTAGACCATCGTCCCAACCGTTTGCAGCACTAGTTCTTTCACATTGTTTCGAGAAAGAATTTGCATTTGATGTGCAAGGGTTGAACGTTGAGGGACATAAAAATTTTGGTTTCGCGGGGGTTTTAGGCTGGGTCAAACTATCTGCGAATGTTGTGTCTCCCATGTTGAGTTCCGGGGTGGATACTCTAGAAGATGTTCCTGTTGATGAGGTGTTATTTGGCGGCGGGCTATTTGCCCTAGAAGAATTAGTTGACTCTAGATTTACGAGAGGAGTGTTTGGATTTTGATTATTTGATCTACTTTCTAGACCTGCGGTACCAAAGCCACCCTCATTCGAATATAAATCAGGTTCATTTATAAGATTTGTACTTTTCCTTGAAGCTGATTGATTTTTAGAAAGAAAATGATCATTTTGTTGCCGTTCAGGAGATCGATTTACCAAAGGCGACCTAGCGAAGGGGTCGTTAAAATTAAATTGGTCAGTGCTACGAAAGGCTGGTGTAAAAGAACTTACTTCTGCGGGAAGAGAATCCAATCGCAATTTGGTAGAACGTGTTATACGTTTTTCATTGTCGCTCGACATCAGCTTTCCGAAAAAGAAGTATAATATTGAAATCAAGTTGTGTTCATCCCAATTAAAAAAAATCAAGTTACATTAATTCAACATCGAAACTAGAATATTTCCCGAATAAAAACTAGTTAATCAAATAAAATTCAAGTCATATCACAAAAATTAAGAAATTGTTCCATATTAGACTTGAAAAATGTATATATTTACTCATTATTCGTCAGAAAAACAAAAAATACTCATATGGATATGTGGAAGTGAAATGGAAAAATAAATAGTCAGATTATGTTACAAAGAAGAAGGAATTGATCCAGTTAAAAAAAATTGAAGCGCCCTCAACATTTCCTCTGATATGCACCCTCGAAAAGAACTACTTTTTTTATATAGAATACTCGTGGAAATGAACCAAAGCCCCCATTATCTTGTCGGTCTAATTATTTTCAAGTAGGGAAAAAAATATGTAACATCACTCAGCAATATGAGAACAATCAAACTGTGACAAAAAGAAAGCTAATTTCGGAGAATTAGCGTCAAAATTAACTCGGCGCCTCCACCATATGTCACGTTTAAATCTCTAGGGGTAGAATAATTGTAAGTACCCATAATCCTTCCCGAGACATTCAAACCTATGACCAGTGAGGGGTTACTCGCTTGGCAGCAGAATAATGGGGCTAGATTCAACTTAACAAATTCATGAATTTTTATTCAATCATAAGCTCACATTGGGGTGTAAATTGAAGGACTACAAAAATGAGTGAAAAATACAAAAACAAAAGATGTCGAGCGTCAACGAGACAAAATATCCAGAACACATAGTATATGAGGAAATATAAAAATGAAACATAAATATAACATAGAAATCATGTACTCACCAGAGAGCGTGCTTCTCCATGGGGGTGGAACTCGAGGGGCGCGGTGTGTCGAAAAACTAAACTTACTTCAAGAATGAAACGCGTGATCGCACTACTCGCGATCCCTAATCGTAATGCCGGCTTTTTCATCAAACTCGATATTCCTTGTTTCGAAAAATACTCCGTCAGCGATAATTTACCCGATCATAGGTGCCAGCGACCTGGTAAAAAGATTGCAAATCAAAATAATACTGATTGAAATTGGATTCTTGATTTCCTGGCAACTACGATCGACTGAACTGTCTTCCGGAAATGTAAAATTAGCTATGAAAAATATATTTACTGGGAAAAGACTAAAAATTGGAATTTTAAAATAACTGAATAAAATACGAATGATCATTATATCTTGACAATAGAACAAATGGTGAAATCTGGTGGTGGCGGACACGTCCAAAATGTCCCTTGTTTAATATAATTCCGATTTTGACAATGTAATACTAGAGAAAAGTTTTTATAGAAAAACTATATAGTTCTAACTGAAATCAGTTTCAAACGGTTCTGTCCAATTTTGGCTGTTTTTACGATCTCAAATGTTTTCATTTCTTTTTTATATGTATCATAATAATATACTCAAGTAGTTCATCGATGTTATGAATAATTCATTTTGTTCGTTTTGTTTTCTGTTAAAGAAAATACTTTTTTCACCAGATCTGATATCTATTGATACGAACTGAAGTTTAAATCACCAGAAAATCACTAGATTTGCGCAAATTTCCGCCTGCGTCGCATTTTTTCTCAATTCTATCCGGTTTGGTGGATTTTTAATGTCATTTAGGTGGCCAATTTGCGACTTTCGGAAATCTGAGTTGGCAACACGGCTTATTCAAGCCAGTTACTCAAGGAAGTTGGTAGCAAGGGCGTCGCCAGCCGGTAAGACAGGGGGGGGAACCATAAAAAAACTAAAGAGACAAATCAAATACGAGAAGTTTAATGAGGAAAATTGAAAAAGGGAACAAAATCTATAAAGAAAATCAATTGAAAAATATTCTTCTAGGATCTTCGAATTCGAATTCGTTTGTCACTTTTTTGACGTGAAGTTTTTGAAAATATGTTGAGGCCATTGAGTCGAGCTTCAGGCATGGTGCTATCCTCAACCAGGTTTTGGCTACTAAATGGCCTCTCAACTGTACAAGTCTTACAAGGTGAAGCAACAAGGATCTTCAAAGTATTCTCAATTTCAGGAAAAAAATCTGCTCTCGGAAGTTCTTATTGGCTCAAAGTGAAGGTTATAAGTAATATCCCGATGTTCTGAATATTCAAGATAGTTTTTTCGTTTCATTGTTCACAAAATTGTGTTAGATATTCAGAACAGAGTGGTACTTTGTGAGACTATATCACGTTCACGAAGCATGAAAAGCATTTATTATAAATGAGCGATTTATTCTGACAAGTACAGCCATAATTATTTCATGCCAAACTGGCAGACTTTGCTTCGCTATCCATGGTTACATCGTTTTGAAAATATCAACGCTGATTGACCAATCAGAATTGAAAGACAGCTAATGTTCTCTTGATAAGCACACGTTGTCTCTGGCTTGTGATTGGTCAGATTATGTGATGAATGAAATAGTCGTTTCAATGGGCGAGTGGACTGATATTGGATTATTGGCATATCCACTGAATCGTTCGGGAACTGAATTAATTTTTGCAACACTTCTCTTTTCTATGTACATAATGAGCCTATATATGCGTTGTTCAAAATTGTTGAATTTCAGAGCTTATTTCAAACGTACCGTCATGGCCGCCATTTGGCGATATACGTCGAATAAATTGTGACGTCAGTTTTTATACTGTTTCGTTATTGGTCAGATAATCTTCCATTTTCACTCATGAAGCAAGCTGGTCAAGTTACCAATTATAATCAATTCATCAAAAAGATTAGAGTCTTGTCGTTGAATAAAACACGAGATAAAACATAATATGAGGAAGCAAGCTTTTATTGTTCATTCTTGACTTTTTCGAGCAACATTTATATCCAATCATCTCTTATATCTTATAACAAAATATTATGGTGATGTTGAAGACTTGGCAACAATGTGCTGAATGCTGAGAACTGACAAGGCACCGCCCAACAATTCGTGCACCGTGTTGTCACGTTTACCCTCAAATGTAGTTCTACTGTTGTATGCTACATTGATATTTATGTTCATCACATTAGTTGTTAGGTTGAAGTGTAAGAATAGTTTTATGACTTTTATACTGAACTTTCGCCTGGAAAAGACCTATTATTATAATTATTATTATTATTATTTTTATTATTATCATCGCCGTCCTGCATGGACACCAATAGTGTCTCGAATAAGACCTCCTGACTTCATTTAACTAGCCTCTGTGCTAACTGGATACGTTATACTACAATCGATAAACAAAACTGAAACAATGATACTCACGTTGTATTCAATTCGACTGTAACACTCGTGTGTCGACCATTTTTATGAGTGAATAGCCCCCACGTAGATACGGCATCAACGAGGCTAGTGACTAGCCCTCCGTGCATTGTGCCCATAGGATTTGTATGTTCCTCTTCAATTTTCAATTCTGCTGTGCAATTACCATCAGCAAGATGAGTTATAATGAGCTGAAACAAAAATCGAAGTTGGGCCATCTCCTGGATATGAATGGGACACATCCCAAAAATTTTCTATTATCAAATATTTGTAATAATGCCGTAATTCGAATAATTATACTGTTGACTAGATGATCACTAGATCTTTCAAATGAGGTGTTTATTCATGTCCACTGTTTGTTTTTCAGAAAATCGTCCACCAACAATGGTAATGGAGATTTTGGAGACTTTTCAAAGTAAATCCAAGCTCTCATAAAATTTTATTTCCATCATCAGGGAGACTACTGAAATTTTCACAATTTTATATGTTCAACAACGTTTTAACCATATACTTACCTACTACTCTATATATGGCGCATCGCCTATACGATATCTCAACAAAAATGGGACCAAAATGAGAGGTACTTTTTGAATCTATAAGGACGGAAAGTGAAGGATGGAAAATGCTGACGTGAGGATCAGATTTTGAGTTAGGTTAGATTCGTAAATAATTATTTGATCATAATAGAATATCAAAAATCATCAATCGATAATACCACAGTATAATAATACCGTCAACTTCGATTTATTTTGTATAAAGTGCTGACTACATATTATGAGATTGGAGGAATAAGTTATCCCCAATGAGAAAAAACTTTGGAACCAAATAAGTTTGATGTCATGTGGTTCAAACTCGATAGCCAGAAACAGACCAAATACCTTTGTTGTCTCTACTTATCACCAAATGATCCATCCTATGAAGAGCTCTTCGAATTCTTGTCTCTGAAGCTTGACCAAATTCAACAGAACCATCCAGCAGCAGAAATCATCATCATGGGCGATTTCAATGTACACAACACTGCTTGGCTCGTACACTCTTACAGAACGGATGAAGCTGGGCGACAAGCCGAAGCTTTCGCCATCACTCACCGCTTAGAGCAGCTTATTATCAAAGAACCCACACGAATTCCTGATGCCAAAAACCATTCAGCTAACATACTTGACTTATTCCTCACTAATAATTCAGCACCCAACACCATATATGTACGAGCTCCACTTGGCCACTCATCTCCACAACCTGCCCATTTTTCATTCCATCAACTGCTCAGGCATCCACACGTCTTATATGGCATTACAATTCAGGAGATTGGGACGGTTTCCGCATGTTTTTCTCCGGGTATCCTTGGCATAGAGTATGCTTTGACTCTGAGGCCCTTCACAATGTGCTGCGAAAATATCCGAGATCATCATGCTCGGAATGGACACATACATACCTCATTCTTCGAAAAGATCATCACCACCGAAACCCTAGTTCAACAAAAACTATTCTAGAACTGTTGCCTTGAAACAAACAGCCTACCATCGCTGGCGCAAAAACCCTAACCTCGCGACTAGAGCAGAATACGTTGATGCCAGGAATAACTGCAGCCGAACAATAGATGCTTCGATAGAAACATACAATGCCAAGATAAGATCGAAACTCATAGATTGTCCCAATGGCTCTCGTTCGTTTTGGTCCCTCTTGCTATATAAAGCGGTCGGAAGAAATTTCACTAATAGTTCATTTCCACCACTGACAAATCCGACGGCACATTAGCAACAACATCGCAGGAGAAAGCAAATATTTTTGCAGAGATGTTCGCAGCAAACTCCACTTCAGATTCCCAAGGAAAAGTGCCGCCAGACATTCCACCCGTTGAGAGTCGGATGCCCGAAATCGTCTTCCGTCAACGCACTATCAGACGAATTTTGCTTGGTCTTAAAACGAATAAGGCTAACGGTCCTGATGGAATTCTACACAGGTCGGGTATTTTTCCATCATGCTGGAAGACAACTAGAGTCCAACCAATCCCCAAAAAAGGGAACAAGAACCTGCCCAACAACTACAGGCCCCATTGCCCTGTTATCAGTAATTTTCAAAGTGATGGAGAAAGCCATCAATATTGAGCTTATCAAATATCTGGAGAGCTCAGGAATTATCAATGATAGACAATACGGCTTTCGCCACCGAAAATCTACTGGAGATCTACTTGCCTACGTCACCCACTTATAGCAAGCTTCATTAGAAAAACACGGGGAATCTCTAGCTGTCGCGTTGGACATATCGAAAGCATTCGACCGTGTTTGGCACGAAGGACTCCTCCACAAACTACAATCATAGGGCTTCCCACCTCAGCTATGCCATCTCTTATCGAGTATTCTTTCAGGCAGATCGCTTCACGTGGTGGTGGACGGTGTATCGTCTGATACCATTGCCATCAATTTCGGAGTTCCACAAGGATCAATTTTGGCACCAACATTATTCCTTCTTTATATCAATAATCTGTTGGAAGTAACAACTTGCCCCATCCACAGCTTTGCAGATGATAGTACCCTCCATACTGCGTTCTCTTCCAGAATTCCCATTTCTTCCAGGAAACTGAGAACTCACGGCGCAGGCAGGTCAATGCTGTCAATGAATACCTTACTGAAATCACAACCTGGGGAACCAACACCTAGTTGAATTCAACGACTCCAAAACTCAAGCCTGTATTTTCTCGCGATAGGCGGAACTCAGTATGCCCGATATTGTGATGTCTGGCACCACCATCCCCACCAAGCCCACCATATCTATGCTCGGTATTTCCATCAGCAACACTCTTTCATGGGATAATCATGTCAGATCTATCGCAAAAGCTGTTTCACAGAAACTCGGATTCTTGTTCCGTGCGAAAAGCTACTTTACACCTCAACAGCTTCTCATGATCTACAAAGCGCAGATACGGCCTGTTCTAGAATACTGCACCAAAACATACGCTGATGCTCTTAGATTGCATCCAGAGAAGAGCCATTCGCCTGGTGGGTGACGCCACACTCACTCACTCACTCTTTGACATCATTGGAACACCGTAGAAAGGTCGGCGACCTTTCACTTTTCTATCGATACTGCCACGGGAAATGTTCTTCGGAAATCTCTGCTATCATCCCTTCACTAGCAATACCAGTTAGACGAACTAGAGAAGCCCAGTCAGCACATCCTTTCGTTGTCAACCTCGAAAGATGTCGAACAGCACTTTATCAAAACTCCTTCATCCATAGAACGGCTAGGCTCTGGAATTCATTGCCTGAGGAAGTATTCCGAACAACATATAATCTCCAGAAGTTCAAAAAAATTCCAATACCTACCTCCTGTCCCTATCCTCCCTAGGAACGCACGATGTTCTTTGAACATTATAGGAATTTCCTTTCGTGCGCTCCAAGCGAAAAAAAAAATAAAAGCCATAAGCTCCTTCGTTCAGGGTTCTTCGGGAGTCTAAAATATAATATAAATAAGTGTGTACCTTTGTGCAGGTCAATACATGAACAAGAGAATTTGAAAATTCAAACTTACTTATGAAAAGAGGATTCCTGTCTATTCTTTCCTCCGCAAATACTGCATTTCGTTTCACTAGACATATAGACTATTTCTTCTCGAATATTCTGAGAATATTCAGAATCGTATCACAATATGATTCTGATGATATTCTTGTATCAATGTTCTTATAATGTTTTGCCTGACCAACCTTTCATTCTCAAGCCTCAATGATAATTATCCTACTTATAGGCTAGTCGGCAGGTTGGAAAAAATGGGGTAAACCTTCGGGATAATGTTGTTCAGAGATAGTTATTTGAAGTTTTCTTAAGTTCTGGGCCTAGAGGACCCGGTCGCGTATTTACTAAATATAAACTATTACAGCACAAGACACGCCCCCTACTACGGCATTGCAAAATATAATCGAGCCCAGCACAATCCTGCAAAATCTAATCTTTGACAGCACAACGTAGCTGATTCATATAAATAAATCGATTGAAAAAGTAGCACATACCACGTTATATCTCATCTTCAAAGTACTTTACTTAGGCAAAACTCAGAGACTATTTATCCTCAACGAACTAACCTATCCCTGATTGCAATATTTTTGAGGAAGGAAAACCGAATGGAGTGTAGAAACACATTGATTAATAATATATTTCAAAAGTTGAGTTCTTCAACAAAATTGAATAAAATGAGACTGTTTATCCTAAACGCACTAACCTATTTGACTTCAAATATTTTATGAAAAAGGAAAACCAGAATGAAGTAAAAAAACATTGGTGAAAAAAAAAAGTTGCAAAAAAAAGTTTGAGTTCACAGCGATTCGAACCGCGAACCTTCAGACTGAGAGTCGACAGCGCTAACCAGTAGACCATTTGGGTGTATGAATTTACTGCGTACAAGAGATTGACAACGAGTAAGCTTCAGTTCTTGCGTTGAAGCACAGTATGAGATATGACGTATTATGGTGGGCGTGGTTTGTGCTGCAATAGTTTATATTTAGTAAAATCGCGACCCGGTCCGAAAAGAGGAGAGGGGGCAAACTACAAAATCTTCGATCTTTTCTCGGTTTTTCTGCGATACTTCTTTGTAGAGCGTTTCATTGCCTACAATTCAGATTCTCGAACATTAGTGTAGGTCAATAATTCATTATCAAGAAAAGGTGCTTCAAGAAAAGAAACGAATGGGAAATATTGCATAATTCTACCTTGTTTCTTTTTTTTGTGACAGGAAAAAAGTTGGGAAAAAAGTAAGTACCTACTAGTTTCCCGGATGTATATCACATATATATACACTGTTGATGGCTTTTATTTGTTGTGCTATAGTTCCGAAAAATGAGTCAATAATACCGTCTCCGAGAAAGAACTGCAAGTTCTTTTATCTTTCATTCGACTTCGCGGTTACGTATATTACTAAACAATCACTAAGAGCGCAATTTTTTGAAATCAAATCACAGAATTAGACTGACGGAAATGACATCAGATATTTGATTACTTCAAAAGAATGATAAAGATGCCTACAACGCAGGTGTCCCTCTACTGTTAAAAACTAAAAAATTTCACGTCGATAATTTTCAGATTTCAAAATAATGTAATATCTTCTCAATATTGATTCGTCCTTCCTTCTGTCACAGAAAAAAATAGTGTATTATACACGGGAAAAAAATTCCCTCCGCGCTGACAACACAACCTGGAACTAAAATCTACAACTTCTTTCCCTTGTATGATAAATAACTATTGTTATGTCCGGAATATGATATTACTGTTGTTGTAATTATGGTTCTTGTGCTGTAGAAAACTAAGTACATTTCTAAATCTTGTCAAATAATTGTAAAAAAAAAACCATGTTTCTCTGTTATATAAGCGACTCCCCAGGTAACAAGCTGACGTCATTTGTACGTCATTATCACGTCAGGCCTGACGTCAGGATGACTTCCAAAATGACGTCATAATGACGTTTATATGACCTTCTAAGTCAATGACGAATGACGTCATTTTCATGTCGTCAAAATGACGTCATCCTAATGGCGTCAAAATGACGACATCCTGATGTCGTCAAAATGACGTGATCTTTCGATATATATTTCAGTTTATTTTGTGCTATTTCGAAATTTTCTGTACGTGAAAAAAACCGCTGTAGTATTAGGGTTGTATCAATATTATCAGAAAATATGAGATTTTTTTTGTATAATCATATTGATGTTCCTCTACCAAATTAAATACAAAATAATATTATAGGTAGGTAGGTACTATAAATACCAGTTTCATAAAATGTTCTTTTTATTGTGAACTTATCCCATTCGGATGATGCACTCGAGAGATTTCTCAGAACCCTATGGTATTCCTTCAATGGCGTCCAATTCACATTCTGCTTTTTCGGCATACACCACTTGTCTAAAATATGACCATGCTGCCATCCTCGAATTCTACTACTTGATACATAAATATGAATAAGTATGACCACCACACCACACCACATAGATAGCCGAATAACATGATAATGATGGCCTTCTATGTATTGTTATTTTGTTGTTATGGTCATCATGGCCGCAACGGCGAAGCGAAAGTGAACGGCGTGGCTTGGTATTATGAAGACGGCTCCCAGCAAACACAGGGCAGTAACTGTAAAGTACTATGGAAGTAATTCTGCAACTAAAATCCGCCTGCGATGTACGAAAAACATCTCCTTCCGCTCTTATTTGCAGCGAAATGTCCGCGACATCAAGTACGCATTTCATTAATTGTGTTGTTCAAATTGAGATTTGGAAAAATAGCCCAAATAAAACATATATCCGTATAGTCACTGTGTCAGTTTTTGAGACAATAAATGTCTCATTTACAATCACATTTGGCACATTCATGCGAGGATTCTCTGAGACTTCTCCATTCTATTCCTTTTAATATGGTGACTTTCTCGAATAGACTTCTTCGCGATGTTTCTCGATGACGATTTTTTCAACTAGAAATTCAACACATTTTGTGGTAATGACATTGTGGTTGTTTATTATTATCTTGAAATAATTATCACTGCATCTTATATTTTTTGTTAACAAAGCAAAGTCTCAATGTAACCACGTTCAGAACAAATATGCGTAATCAAACTGAAAACATATTTCCATTTGCAATTTGGGACTTCGCGAAACTGCCATGTGATGTAACGTGTTTGCTGGGCTGTGGCTTGGCGCTAGCGGTCGACGTTCGCATGTCTGCGCAAGGTCCGTGCCGACCAATCAAGTACAGTTCTCTACGCACTCTCCCGCTCTGATTTGAATTCGCATTCCGGAATAACAACGTTATAAGCTTTTTATGACTTGAAATTCGGTCTTATATTTTTAATAGCTATGGGGAGAATACTTTGCACAGAAGGTATATAATTAACAATTATATCAGAGACCATCGAAAACACACATCTCCCACAGATTAGAGGAAAAAAGCATAATATATGATGAGTGACATAATAATATATGTTTTATAACATAACTACTAACGTTTTCATATAACAGAGATGGGAAACTTCTTGATTATGAATTTTCCTTGATGTAGATGACTCAATAAATGATGGTCATAATAAGTCATGAAAATGACCATCAGATGACGTCATATTGACGACATATCAAAGACGTCTATATAACGTCATATTAAGTACGTCAAAATGACGTCATTTTGAGGTCATATGACGTCAATGACCATAAATGACCATATATTGACGTACAAATGACGTCAGCTTGTTACCTGGGTCATTGTGGATACCCTTGACCACATCTCATTTATCAACGAAGTAAAGTGAAAAAAAAACAATTTTAATCTGAAATTTTTCGAAAAAATTACATTTGACAAGTGTACCGAATTTCAGGAAAATCCGTTGACGAATGCAGAAGTCACAAGGGTTGATTCAATATTCAACATTTTGATAGAAACAATTTTTAATCAACTAATACGTAGTTATAAATATTATTGAGCTGAAAACAGTTTAGCGCCTTATTGCCACTGATGCATTCGAAACCATAAACCTGTATTTGAAAAATTGTTCATTAGTTTCTGTATTTATGATAGCCCATATTATTTTGGTAATACTGATTCATAATTTGTGTGGCTTCCTTCCCCAAACCCCCTCCTTAACTTGCCACTGGATATGAGGTGTTTGTTACGATAGGGACCCCCTCCATAACATAAGTAGCCACAAAAACATGTATTATTATGTGTATATATGAATAGCCTGATAAGATACCAACCTTATTTAGAGTTTTGTCATAGCCTTTACTATTTCTCAAATGTCTATGGAGATGTTCTACTGTCAAAATTGGTTCGCCTCCGCTGAGTAACAGAGCTGCATTTACTATTTTTCTCGCCATTGTCTTGATATCTACCTATATTCAATAATGATTTGTTAACTGACAGTAACTAATGAGTTCAAAAGTAATACTAATTCATGTGTTCATATTTATTTGATCTTATCAACGTGGTATTATCGTTTCAATACTATAATGAACGACAAAAATTGGACAACATTGTCAACATTGAATTAAGATCAGTAACGTACCTATATCGTTTTTATTCGGTGGTAATACAATATTCAGTGACAGTGGTGGAGTAGAATATAGAAGACCATCATCCAATACAAAAATAATAATGAATTCATTTCTATCGCACGAAAAAATACCCCTACTATATATACAGGGTGTCCCAAAATTGATGGTACACAGTGTTATACAGGTCAAAATTAGTTGATTGAACCCAATTTATTCATATACCATAATAATACCGTTTGTCCGTGAGACGAGTTCGACAATTTTTCATAGAAAAACACATTTTTCAAAAAATGAGTCACACCATTTGAATGAAATTTGAAAACAATGCATTTTAGAGGATATTCCTTCTTTCAGTTATCGAAGAAACCCGAAAGAAGTTGTAGAAGGATTGAAACCACCATAACCCCCTGACATTTTCCTCAGAACATTATTAGGGGTGGTGATATAGGATCCTCGAATTTTCCAAGAGAGATGACTGATTAATTATCTTCATTTTGTTACTCTAGTGAAAATTTTGTATTCCGCATAGTTCCGAAGGAAAAAAATGTTTTCTTAAAAAATGCTAACAGATATTGAACATTTTTCAATTGATGTTCAATATGACGCCCACCTTCATCAAAATAAATGTCAATTCCTTTGTTTCCACTGCCAACTAATTTTGTATTACAATTTTATCAAACTTTCACTATTTCTTTCCACAACTTTTTTTTCTATGCAATATTCGGCAGTTTGACCATTTTTACATAAAATGATACACCTGTTTAGTTTCGATAGCACTCATGATTTTCGAGATAAATCGATTTTAAAAGTCTGCTGCGCAACAAAAACATTTCTCAACTACGAAATAGCCACAATGCTCAAAGTGGAATCAAATGGTAAATAAATGCAAAAAGCTCAAAGTCATTTCCACACAATGTTCATAAAATGAACAACAATGGTAAATTTCGGGAGAAAAACAACTACTTCCCTGGCTAATGCCACGCAGGACATTGAATTACATCCTCCCGAAATCTATGCATCGACTTGGATAAACGAATACTGGAAGTGATTCTTTCCTGAATGCCTATTGATTTCAATTCAGCCAGGCCGCTAGACAACCACAGACCGGTTTCGAGCTCTTTGACTCTCATCAGTGCAGTGTAGTCTCCAGTCAGCAGTCCTAAGACCGCCACTCCCGTATGGGAATTTTAGTTTTGGAGTGATTCTTTCCTCTGTTCTACTCAGATGGCGTTACTTTCATTTTGTCGATGAAAGACGCCTCGGGGTGAATATAATGTCGACTTGATTTTTGTTTGACTAGGCTTCGCTGAGTCGGCGGTCTTAGGACTGCTGACTGGAGACTACACTGCACTGATGAGAGTGTTGCACAAAACTATTTCTCGATAAACCACCCCTTAGCACATACCACCAACTATTTTTTTATATCACACCCCCATATTATTATGGCATGTTTGAGTAGCTTATCAGCTCACAAACACATTAGTAGATAAGAGTGACGTTGGGTACAGTACACATTGACCTCTAAATCCCACGCCAATAACCCCTGGGGGGTGTTTCGGCGGGAAATCATTATTGCAAGGGGCGTTTAGACGGGAAAACCATTGATGGCTGGCTGAGGTGTTAAGGCGGGAAAACTCCGGTTGACTGGCCAGGGGCAAGAGGTTACCCGCTTTTTCCGCTTTCCACCCCGGTTAAACAGGTTAGTTTAGGTAGAAATAATGACACTGACTGACTGAATGACAGCTAAGCAGCCCCCACTCGACGGATACGTCACAGGTACGTTACAGGCATGTCACGGACACGTCACAGGTGTGTAACATAATCGTCACAGACATGTCACGTACGTCACAGGTGTGTCACAGATACGTCACAGGCATGTCACGGACACGTCATGGGTGTGTCACATATACATCACATACATGTCGAGTACGTCACAGGTATGTCACGGACACGTCACAGGTGTGTCATATAAACGTCACAGATATGTCACGTACGTCACAGGTGTATCACGGACACGTCACAGGTGTGTCACATGAACATAAAGAATATCGACTGTTTTGATGGGGAAAAACACTCAGATGATTACAGCACTCGCCTTCGGCTCGTACTGCAACTTTCATCTTCGTGGGTACTAGCCATCTTCATGCACTTGTTGAATGATATGCTATTGATAGATCCCTTCGATAATTCCATGCATAACATTTAATTCGTATGATAACAGTGCGGTATCGATAACCCTATAGCCGCACGAATAACTATGAAGGTGGATTTATACACACCGCTTTTTCACTAATCTGTTGCTTTCATTGATTGTCAATGAGTTAATTTTTATTTAAGGACTATAATACCTTTATGCACCACCTTCTTTCAATTTTGAACTCTTCTTCTTTACCAAAACATAGTCCTCAGCGTACTTAGCCCGATGAAAATATTTGTGTTATAACATTCAGTGATCACATAATTATACAATAAGAATCATTCATTCATATTGTTTTCAAAGTCTAATTTGAACATACGAATAGAATTTTCTGAATTTTCAACCACATTTTGGAAAAAGGAGAGGAACGCATTGTTTGTCTGACTTCTGACAGAATCGCGCATGCGCAAGTCACAGTTTCATTTGTATTCATTTGTAATTTGGTCATCTCTTAGTGAATAGTTAATGAAAGATAGAATTCAATGTAGGTGCATAAATGAATGAACGGCAATATCCAGTGTTATCTTATTAGTGAAATCGTTATTAATGAGAAAGCAGTGTGCATATATCCGCCTTAATATCTCGCTCAGTGTGACGTTTTTTTTTGTTAAATTCAGTAATCTCTTTTCACCTGATCCTTGGGGTATTTTGGGAATTTGTACAGTGTGTCCCACTTACCATGCTCACCATGGGTATCTTTTTAACGATGAGAGATACGAGGTCGGTTAAATGACACCGAATGTGAAGTTTGTCTAGGCCAACTATAATGTGAAATAATATTTTGATAAAATCTATTCGTTTTTGTTTTATACGCAAAAAAGAGATTTTGATCATTTTCATGTTACCTCCGTAACTTCTTATGTTTAGAAAACCGTCATGATTCGAAATTACTAATATACCGTATGTTCTACACGTGACAATATATTTTTCTCCAAATTTCTATTTTGTATTGTAGTTTTCGATGAATCTGTTTGAAGATGCATGATGTTCTTTGAAAGTTCTCAATTCTCAAATATGAAGACAAAGCAAACGCATACGCGTGGAATAATTGGAACCAATTTGAATACATCTAAAAACCATACAAATTATCTTCATGGTGATGAAATCAGAATAATCATTGCACATAATGAATCATTTTATCATGCCATTTCAACAAAAACGAGTTCCGATGTTACTTTCCATAATTTGCTGAATCATATTGGAAATATTGTTACATCCGACCAAAATGTAAACATATGAGTTTCAACTATCGATATATGTATAAATATCGGATGTGATGTGATGTGTGTAAATAAGGGATCTTCTCAAACAATTTGAGGTCTTACCGTCTTTTTATTTCATCAGGTAGAGAACCGTTGCCGTGATATTGGGCAAATTTTTCGTTACATTCAGCCTACTGAAAGGGATATAAGAATCATATTTCTGTCTAGTATTGACTCCATGGCGGAAAATGTTCGTGTGGAAGTTTTCTTAATTGTGAAATACATATAGACATGATTCTAGAATGAGTAATGGTAGTGTCAGAATTTTCAAGTTCTTAAAAATGTCACGACATGTTGTTCTCTTGGACACACCTACTAAAGAACGAACATCGAGTTTTTGCACAATAAAAATATCTTGTGCGGAACTGGATAGACCCCAAAAACAAATGCCGTAACGAAGTCGGCTTTCAATTTGACAATAATATAAATTCAATAATTATACCCAATTGAGAACGTTCTTCAAATTTCTGAATTGATATGAAAATGAGTTGAGTTTAGATTTCAATATTCCAGAGTTTTTATGCCAATCAAGGCATTCGTCGATATAAAACCCCAGAAATTTCACATCACTTGTGTCTGTAGAAATTGGATTTGAAGAATCATTGACTTGTAGAATGATCTTATCACAATTTTTTTGGCGATTTTGAAATCTAATTGCATTCGTTTTCTCAACATTGAGAAATAGTGCATTTGCTCTGGTCCAGTCGTTGACCAGTCGCAAGGCTTGATTACATTTTGGTAACAAGTTGAATTGGCAAATTACCCATTATTATGTAATAACATCATTAAAATTTGTGGAGATTACTTCGAGCATTCCTTCTTTCCTCTGAAATATTTCACTCCACTTTGATCAATATGGACTTCTACCAAAGATTATTCTCTAAATATATTTTCAACTCTAACTTTTTTCGATCAGTTTATATTCGAATTACGACCTTTATGCTTTCTGATCTTCACAGCAGATAATTTACTTATTATTATCAGCTGGTTTGTTCAGTTAGTTGAGATGCATCGCAACGCAGTGGTCAAATTGATCGGATCTATTATTTTATTCTTGAATGTGATATCCTTAGTGTCCTGTGCGAATATCCTTCTTACTGAAGATTTAGCTTCTCCGAGCCATCAAATATGGAACTATGCTATTGCCGATGCTTTAGTAGCCAGAGGCCACAATGTGACAATACTTGGACCTAAGACGATATCAACAAAGAACAAAAAGTTTCATTTCATTCCGTTGGAAGGTTCGTACCTTTGTGCTAGAAACTCATGAAGGGTGAATGTGTCAGTTTTAAACAGCGAGTATTTAACAATTGTTGAAAAATCAGTTTTTCCAAAATGAAACAATCCTGTATAACCAAATTGTTCGCTCTTGCTTGACACGAACCTTCTATTTTACAATTCAACAACAATGTGACAATACTTGGACCTAAGACGATTTCAACAGAGAACAAAAAGTTTCATTTCATTCCGTTGGAAGGTTCGTACCTTTGTGCTAGAAACTCATGAAGGGTGAATGTGTCAGTTTTAAACAG